CGCGCCGGGCTGGGGGGGGGGAGGGGGGCACTGAGGCCCCCGCGGCCAAAACCCGGGTTTCTCACGTTCAGTTGTGCTCCCCCTCTTCCAAGAGACCAGCAGTTCGTGTCCCCCCCCCCCCCCCCCCCCCGCTGGTCCTTTGTCGCGTCCCCCATGCGCGCACGGGCCCATACTATTATGGACCCGGGGGACCCAGGCGCACATGGCCGGGAGGCACCCTCGCCCGGGAACCTGTTCTGCCTCTCTCTCTCTCTCCCTGTCTCGGCGTGGCGGACGCCTGGCGCGCGTCGGGGCGGAAAGCCGATCGCCGATGCATACACGCGTGTCCGCAGAGGAATCCAGGCATGTTGTGTGTCCCCACATGGGTGTGTGTCCGGGTGCGTGTCAGTGCGTGTGCGCGCGCGCGCGCGGGTGGGCCCCAAGCGCCCCCCCCCCTCCCTGGAGGGGGACCGCCAGCGCGCAGCATCCCGCGCCCCGGCCATAAATCGGCTCCCACCGAAATAACCGCCCCGGGCCGCCCACGCCCGGGCGCCGACGCGACACCCGGGCGCCACGCGAAACAATAACAGCCCACTACGCCGGGTGGCAGGGGGACGGCGAGCCCGAGTCCTTTGACCCCTCCGCCCCCCGCTGCGCGGAGGGCCGCCACCGCCGACGGGGGCGCTTCAAACGACCGGCGCGATCTGCCCCCCCGGCCCCGCCCCCGCTCGCTGGCAGAAAGCCGGGTCCCAGCATATGGGGCACGCGCTTGCCCCCCCCCGTCCCCCGGTGCTCTGCTCCACCCCAACGCTTGATTCTGCCTGGGGGGGGGGGGGGGGCATCCATATGTGTGGCCGCGGCCAGACCCTGCCCCCTCCTCGGGCGGGTTTTCCGGCTCCCCGGGCCCGGCCGACGCGCACGATCCATCCATGTGCGCGCGGTGGCCCGGCCGTGTGGCGGTCTCCCTCCGCATTTCCTCCTGGCGCGCGAGCGGCGCCCTTTCCCTCTCGGTCCCGCCCCGGGCCTGCCACCTTGTTGTCTGGCCGGTGCGCCGAGGCAGCGCGGCAAATCCCCGTCGGAAAAAACAACAACAACGACCAGTCCGGGCGAAGGTAGAACCGCCCCCCGCGCCGCCCCCCCCGCTGGCGTCTGACCGGCCAGGGCAAGGCGGCCGCTCTCGATCGCCCGGCCGCACACGGCCCCGGTCTCCGGACGATCTCCCTTGCCACCGGCCCTCGTCGGCCGGCGTCCGTCCACCGCCCCGGGCAGCCACCACCACCGCCCGGGCGTTTCACTCGGGGCGAATCACTGATGGCGAGATGGCGCCCCCAGCGCGCCATGCCCTGTTCCCGTCCCGGCGCAGAGTGTCGGGCCTCCCGGCCTCCCCCGCCTGCCCCCCCCCC